TAGTAATTATAATAGTAAGTACATGTAACGTGTAACAAGGACACCTTAAAATAAAGTTTTACCGAATAAAAAAATATATATTCAATTCAATTATTAAAAAATGTATACATGCGATGTATGCAATAGTTGTTTAAAATTTACATGATTTTTAAAAATGTGACTTGAAATGAATACGGATTATTTTAAAATTATATAAATTATACATTTATGCATTTTATAAATTCATTTTAAAATATTATTTTGAAATGTATACAGAGATAACTTCAAATAGTATATATGCATTTTATATATTAAGTAAAATATTTTGAAATGTATGCAAAAATAACTTCAAATATAATATATATGCATTTTGTATATTAAGTAAAATATTATTTTGAAATGTATGCAAAAATAACTTCAAATATAATATATATGCATTTTGTATATTAAGTAAAATATTATTTTGAAATGCAAAAACAATAACAAAATTAAAATAAAAAATTATATACATTTTAAAAATACACAAATTATTTAAAATATATTTTCTTTTGAAATGAATGCAATAATTGTTTGAAAAACAAATATGCTTTTTAAAAATGTGACGTGTAATCCCTTTGAAATGTATACTAGTTATTTTAAAAATGTATAACTTTAACAGTTTATAGCTTAAATAATTATTGAAATGTATATAGGTTTTATACATTAATAAAAGAATGGCACTATGATGCAAGGTTGTCAGAATGTTGATCCAGCATGCCGGTGCAGAGCTGAAATGAGTGCTGTGTGTCTGCAGCACCTGCTGGATGTGAGATCACTGAAGTATCTGAGCGGCCTGACGCTCCACGACCGCATCACCAAATCACTGCTGCATCTGCACAAGAAGAAGAAGCCTCCCAGCATCAGCGCACAGTTCAACGTCAGCAAAACACACTGATGGAGAAATAATACTGCAGTCGTTTAAAAATAGCAACTTTTGAAATGTGTGAAATATAAAAAATGTACATTTAAAAAATATATAAATTAAAAAATATATTCTCTCAAAATGTTATTTCGCAATGATTCTATATAAAACTAAAATGTAAAATTTAAAATGGAATTTTAAAAATATATATGTTTTAAATATATACAGTAGTTGTTTAAAAATGATGTACATTTTAAAAGTATATTAAAAAAATATGCATATTTTTTTAATATACAAGTTCATTATGTAAAAAATATGTACCTTTTTGAAATGCAAACAATAATTGTTTAAAAATATATATTATGCATCGGAAAAATACATCAATTATTTTCAAAATACATCTTTTTTAAATTGATCAAAATTATATATTTTGAAAAATATATAAATTATTTAAGACAATATACATTCTTTTGAAATGTATTCAACGCTTCTTTAAAAAGATATAGTTTGAAAAAATCTAATAAAAAAACTTTCAAAATGTATGAAATATAACTAATGTACATTTTAAAATATGAATTATTCTAAAATATACGTCCTTTTGAAATGTGTGCAGTTGTTAAAAAAATACAAAATATGTTATTTAAAAATATTTTTTTTAAATGTATGAAATATACAAATTAATTATTTTAAAAATGTACATTATCTTTGAAATGTATACAGTATTTTATTTTATTTTTAAATATATGCATTTTAAAAATATACAAAGTATTTAAAAGTGTGTGGAATAAAAAATACCTACGTTTAAAAAATATAGATA